AATTTATAATAATTAGAATATTTTTCGAATATATCAAGTTTGTCCTTATCGATATTAAGAAAAAATTTCATTGTTTGGGTTTCAAACTCAGGAACCTTATCCGAGTTTCTCGTGAAATTAGAAATATTACAATCGGTTGGCCAATACTCCAAAGAGTATTGAAGAGAATCAGGCCCGTGCCACCATAAATTAGAATGTTTTAAATCATTTAGAGTACAACCTCGAGAAATAATGTCCGCGGGATTAAGAGACGAAGCAATGTGATTTCAATTTTAACCGAAGTTAGTGATTGTATTTCCGACACTCAATTACTAACAAAGGTTTTCCACATTCGGGGTTGACCTGCTATCCAAGAAAGAACTATTGTGGAATCTGTCCAGAAAAATATCTCATCAATGGGTATATCTAGAATCAACAAACATTTCGATGAAAGCCGCGACATTAACAGTGCTCCACAGAGCTCTAAACGTGGAAGGAAAATCAACTTCAACGGATCTACGTGGGACTTCGCACAAAGTGAATAACATTCGATGTGACCTTGGTCGTCGATAGAGCGTAAATATATCGCACAGCCATACGACTTTTCGCTGGAATCGGAGAATGCATGAATTTATATATTACGAGGCTTGGTCCCCAAGATGCGTCTAGGTATTTGCAAAGATGATGAAAGTCCGGACAATTAAGCCATTGCATATGGAGTTCAGCGGAAATTGGCTCGTCCCACTCTAATTGGAGTTGCCACAAATTCTGCATGAGAAGTTTTGCCCGTATTAAAATGGGGCCCAATAGAGAAAGGGGGTCGAATATTTTCACAATAAAAGAAAGTATTGTCCTTTTAGTTGCGTTACCGGATTTAAAATTGATCTCTTGACTTTTATACCGTAAAACATCTAAAGAAGGAATCCATCATAAACCTAACGTTCTGGTGGATGAGTCATCCGTGATCATATACTGTGCATTTGAAGTCGAGGATATACTTTTTATAAAATCCATATCGTTAGACTGGAATTTACGTATTTCAAAACCGTATTCTAATAAAATATTAGATACGTTTTCACGAATTTTAATTAGGGTTTTGCTATCCGAAGATCCCGATAAAACGTCGTCCATATACATGTCATTATTAATTATATCACATTCCATGGGGTATTTATCGATATTATCGATTGCGATTTGTCTAAGGCAACGCGTGGCTGAAAATGATCCGGGTTTTTTGCCATACGTCAATGTTTGTAAATTATTATATTTTACCTCATCTTGAGGATTATCTCGCCAAACTATACTTTGTAAATTTTGATGTTCAGGATGTATCTATATTTGACGGTACATTTTTGTCAAGTCTCCGATAAAAACTACCTTGTGTTTTCGAAACCCTAACAAAATAGAAAAAAGATCGTTTTGTAAAATAGGTCCATCCATTAAAACAGCATTTAATGATAAATTTGAGGAAGTTTCGGCACTAGCATCGAAAACAACTCTTACCTTGGTTGTGACGCTTTCTAGTTTAAAAACGCTATGATGGGGTAAATAATAAATCTGGGTGAGTGAAAATTGGTCTCGTGAAATTTGTCTTATATGATCAAGGTTTTCATATTCTTGCATAAAATCGCGATAATGAATTTTTCAACTTTCGTTTTTGGACAATTTTTGTTCCATGGAGTATAACCGCTTTAACGCGCGGTTTTCTGAATCGCCAAGCTTCGAAAAAGTACCCTTTAATGGTAATTTGAGAACAAATCTTCCCTGTTCATTTCTTGAAAAAGTATTTACAAAATGTTGTTCGCATTCGCGTTCTTCAAGAGTCCAAGACCTTTCCGGGATTTCGGAAATTTCCTCGATTTTCCCGAACTTTTCCATCTGAGCATTTAAATCAAAATCGTCAGTGTTAGGAAGTGAATTCAAGAAAAAACGTTTGATTATCGTGGATTTATAGGTATGGGCCCTGCTACTACCCAGCCGAGGACGCTGTTCTGTAGTACAGGCAATTTTCTGCCTAGCTTGATCTAACCCTTGCTAAGCAAATTGTAGAACAGTGAAGAACCTATAAGCATATCGATGCTTGAAGCGACGTTGAAATCGGGATCAGCGAGAGGAAGATCGGGTATACTTAAATTCGATCAAAGATCAAAAGAAAGCTGTGGAGTAAAATCACTTATTTTGTCAATAACCAAGCAAGAAATATTTGACTTGAATGAAGAGCGAATAGAAGAAATAGTTACATTAATTTGTTCGTTAATTGTAGTTTTAATTTGATTTATTCCAGAAACTGGCATATTTACCTTTCGCGTATTTAAATTTAATCGTGTTACCATATCCCGGGTAATAAAATTTGTTGTGAACCGCTGTCGAGTACAACACGGCACGAGCATAGAGTTCTATTCATGTCAAAAACGTGAACGAGCGCAGTCGATAACAAGACAAGGGGTTCTGCAGTTTTATGAGAATAATGTGACAAAAGTGTGCAATTTTGAATTTCGTTTAGAGCATTATCGAGAGTAGCATTATTATATAAATTATTATTTTGCAATAGTAGTCCATGTCTCACAGTGAAGAGAATAGTTAAAGAACTGGAGTAAAACACACAATCTATCTTCACTCTTTATTTTATAAAAATATAATCAGTTGGAAGGGGGGGGGGGGGTTGAACATGTTTCGGATCTATCATAGATCCATCATCAGCATAAGTTCAAATGGCAGAGGGAAATATGGCCCTATACGATATGCCTAAGTATTATTAGTTATACATTAAAAATGTAAGTGTTCATGTTGTTATCAGCATAAAGTTGGTTGCTAAAGCCGCATCCAACACAGAACATAGTTACAAAACAAAGGCGAAGATCGAAAAATTATTTTATTATCAACATTGAAAAATTAAAATTGGACTGCCACACAAACACAGAATATGCCTATTCTTTATATTAATTATTAGTTGAAACTATTGGAAGAGGTACTTGCGAGATATTAACATTTGTTTGAGGACCCTGTTTTGACTGAAACCTATTATTATTATTTCATGTTGCCACATTTTTTGAAGTAGCTGCCCCTGGTTGATGTAAAAGAGTGGCATGTCGCCCGTTGCAAATCCTGCAACCTGATGATCTAGAATCCAAATTTCTATGTCCCTTTCGTAGACAATTTGTACAAAGAGATAGTCGTTTTGCCTCATCAAAACGTGACGCTACTGGGAACGATTTGAATTTTGGGCATAAATAAATGAAATGTTTATCACTGAAGGGGGATCCAACTAGTGCTTCAGGATTTTAAAGTGAAATATTGGCAACACTGTAAATGTCAAAAAAAAAATTATTTGGTAGTTTTTTAGGTTAGGTTATTACAAAACAAAATGGAGCATTTAACACCACAGCAACGTTGCGAAATTTTCAAAATTTATTACCAGAACCAAAGTTCCATAAAGGCAACTTGGCGCGGATTACGTGCACGTTATGGTCCCCATGATCGACCCAGTCAACAAACAATTCGTAATGTTGTGAGGAAATTTGAGGATGAGTTCACGTTGCTGGATAATCCAAACACAAATCGTGTCAGAAATGTGCGGAATGCGGACAATGTTGAAGCTGTGAGTCAAAGTGTTCGAAATAATCCCAATTTGTCTGTTAGACGTCGTTCTCAGCAATTGAATCTCACATATGGATCAACCTGGAGGATTTTAAACAAGGATCTAAGTTTGCATCCATACAAAATTCAATTGGTTCAAGCACTGAAGGCCAATGATCATCGTTGTCGCCGTGATTTTGCTGCTTGGGCGATCCGACATCTGACTGAAAATCCTTTTTTTCATCTCACTGTAATGTTCAGCGATGAGGCTCATTTTTGGTTGAACGGATATGTGAATAAGCAAAACTGCAGAATATGGAGCCAGGAGAATCCTCCTACATTTGAAGAAACACCTTTGCATCCGGAAAAAGTTTCATTGTGGTGTGCCATCCATGCCCTTGGTGTCATTGGACCTTATTTCTTCGAGGATGATCAAGAAAAGCGTGTCACCGTAACCGGAGTTCGTTATCGGGCAATGTTGAACGAATATTTCTTCCCTATAATAATCGCAAACCAACTGGAGGGATTTTGGTTTCAATAGGATGGCGCTACTTGCCATACCGCAAACGAAACCATAGCGTTATTGCAGCAGCGGTTTGGCGGAAGCGTTATTTCCAGAAATGGTCTTGTGAATTGTCCAGCAAGATCTTGTGATTTGACGCCGTGTGACTTTTTCCTGTGGGGTTATGTGAAGTCGAAGGTCTACGCTAATAATCCAAGAACAATTGCGGATTTAAAAAACAACATTAGAGATGTTATTCGTGAGATACGGGTCGAAATGTGTGAGAACGTTATGATAAATTGGACTGAGCGAATTCGATATTGTTATCAAAGTCGTGGAGGTCATTTGACCGATATTATTTTTAAGGCATAATTGTTGGTCTGTTGGATAAAATGAAAACAATTCGGCAACGCAGCAATGCCGCGTGAAATTTCATTTCAAAATACTAAAGCACCAATTGGATCACCCTTTAAAAGAAGGGCATATTGGACTTGATGGTTCAAAAGATTGAAAACTTTGTTTTCTTGAAACGCCTTTTCTGAATGTCGATTGATATAGCAAACACGTCGGTGAAGTCACAAATTCGATATCTGCCTTGTTTTCCAAATAGATTTTTTTAGAACTTACTTGAAAATTCACTATCAAAGTCAAAATCGGGTATACAGTCACTTCCGGGGTAATTTACACAATCGTTTAAGTCTTTTTTGTTGCTGCTTACACTGACTCATTGTCCTAGTGTTCACACTATTTTGTAATCAGATTTCACTTTGCAGTCCTCGAATCATATCCCAGATCCGTGACATTGGTGTCAGATCCGTGACATTGGCCACCAGGAAATGACACTTTGAGCGGCATTAGGACCATCATAGGTCACGGTAGCTTCTCTTTTTGATATTCCTGTCATCTTGTCTCTCTAGAGCCAGACTCTTTTTTGTTGCCATACCTGTCAATCCTAATGACACCAATTGATCCAAAATGAGCCGCAATATCTTCTTCAGTTAGGCTGGAATCCATTTGCGATACAAAAATTGTATACGATTGAATAAAGCTACCATCACCTTTGTTAAAACCGCCTCGTTGGTCACCTCCATAGCTACGATCTATTCCACCGCCCGAACTTCCACTGCCTTCGCCTCCACCGTAGCCGCCATCATAGCCTCTGCCTCTATTAGCACCCCTATAACTGCCTCGAGAAGTGCCTCTCCTGCCACTCTGTCCCCATCCTGAGTCAACGGATTGTCCCTGGTCATAAGCACTTTGACTGGCTTCTCCATAGTACTCTTGTGCATAGCCAGTACTTTGATAGGCAGAGTAAGGCGGAGGTTGCGACTAGCAACTGCCGCGACTCGGTACTCGCTTCAAATGAAAACACCTTAGGACTGTCAGCGCTTGCAAAATAATCTGGATACTGTTACACAGTGGTTTAGTGATAATAAAATGTTTTAAAATGTAAGTAAGTGTCAAGTAATGACTTTTAAACGTAAGTCAAATTACATGCAATACAACTATGTGATGGATGGGGCTGTGCTTAATAGAGCAAGCATTACACCCGGACCTTGGAATTTATTTGCAGACAAACCTTAGGTTCAATACTCACTATAAGAATGTTGTTGCTACGGCTTATAGGTCTTTGGGATTTATTATTAGGAACACACGACACTTCAAGGTGATTAGCTCCATAGTCACTTAGTATAATGCTCTTGTGAGACCTTACTTGGAATATGCCTCTTCAATTCAATTCGATTCAATTCCATTTATTTCCTTTGGGCTTTTGCAAAAAACATTGGATAATATCAAATATACATACATTTTTACAAATAAAGTTACAAACAATATAAACATTTTAAGTTACTAACAAACAAATCAGACAGTTAATCTTATAGTAAACAAGTTTAATTTTTATTTATTCTATCAGACTCACAACCCGGACGAAGCTAACTGGCAAAAAACTCTTTTATTGAGTATAGTGGTTTATCTATGAAAAACTTGTATGCTTCATTTTTGAAAGCTCTCTCAGATACTAGGCCCTGAAGCTCCCTTCGAAGTTTGTTGAACACTTTGATACCCATATAAAAGGAGGATTTTTCAAATAGTGCAGTTTTGTGCTTTGGCACACTCAGGAGGTTTTGATTCCTTGTCCGCATGCCACTATTGATACTTGCATTTGTTGTAAAGTACTGTTTCTGTTTATGTACAAATACTGATAAGCAATATAGGTATAGTGAATACACTGTCATTATTTTTAGATCCACAAATAGAGGTTTGCAGTGAGCCAAGAAATCCGCCCCCCCCCCCGCGCAATTTGTCTCATAATTCTCTTCTGAAGGATTAGTAGCCTTTCAGTGTATGCCGATGAGCCCCAGAAAACAATTCCATACTGCAAATGACCATTTATTTTCGCGTGGTAGAACATCATAAGAAGGTTTGGACCGACAATCCCCTTTAGACTCATGACCGCAAAATGCCCACTCTTAAGTTTTGTGGCCACATTTTCAATGTGAATCTTCCAGGAAAGATGGCGATCAAAACAAACTCCCAAGACCTTCACACTTTCCTCAACAGGCAGGCTTTTACTGTTGATTTTAGAGTAGACACTTTCAAGTTTATAGTTTTTATTTCTGGGGTTTTTATAGTGTACTATCTTAGTTTTAATAGAATTCAGAATTAGTTTGTTTTGTGTGGACCAAAGATTTAGAGATTCTGATGCCCTTGTGCTTTGCCTTGATAGCTCAACTATATCCTCACAGCCAAGAGTAATTGAATTGTCATCTGCAAAATGAGCCAGATGATGTTCTTCTTCTATTTTGTCCCGGAGGAAGGCCCGCAAATCATTGCTGAAGATAAGATAGAGAAGTGGAGACAAAATTCCACTCTGCGGAACACCTTGGGAATTTTTTTTTGTTAGTGATTTGACTTTTCCGCTATTTTTGTCAAATATTTCGACATATTGTTCTCTATCTGTCAAACAACTCTTGTGCCAGCTTAGGGCAGCTCCCTTCACTCCATACGAGTCCAGCTTTTTGAAAAGCAGTTCAAAGTTTACCATGTCGAATGCTTTAGACATGTCGTAGTAAATGCCAGCGGTCTGTAAACCCTCATCCAAGTCTCGGTGTATTTTATTTAATATTTCAAAAAGGGCTGTTGTTGTGTTTTTGCCTTTACAGAAGCCATGATGGGTAGATGAAAGTAATTTTTTTCCATAAAATATGCTTCTAGTTGGATTTTCATGGCTTTGTCAAAAATTTTGGCAGACACAGATAGATTTGATATTGGTCTATAATTAGACAAGTTTGATGTTTCACCCTTTTTAAACATGGGAATGGTACGCGCTACCTTGAGAGCTCTTGGGTATGTTCCCTCTGAAAAGGACATGCCAACCATATCTGTCAAAGGAGGCGCAATCAGATTTACGATTGACTTCAATAGACTGCATGGGACCTCATCTGGACCATGGCTTTTTTTCTGCGTAACAGATAATATTATATATATCATTTCGGGGATACTAATGGGCCTTAATTGAAAAGAAAAGGGGACCTTTTCCAGTATATGATGTGAGTTTTTATATGATGCTAGGGTTTGACTATGAGAGGCTATAGAATCTATGAAAAAATTATTGAAGAGGGAACAAATTTTTGTGGGGTCAATCGTTTCCTGACTATCTTTGGGGTCCTTAATTTGTAGATTTTGAATCAAAGAAGCAGAGAAAGTAGAAGAACGATTTGTACTCTCGTTTATGACCTCCCAGCATGCCTTTCCAAAGTTTTCAGACTTTTTCAATTTGTTTTCATTGAAGGATCTTTTGGTGTTACGTATGAGCTTTTTGTATTCTTTTAGATCACTTTTATATTTTTGTTTTAGAATAGAATCATTTGTCTGTTTAATCGACTTGTGTAAAAGTTCTATTGATTCTGACATGGTTTTGATCTCTGGGGTTATCCAATTTTTCCTGCTTTTCTTTTGACAGAGTCGGGTTTTTTTCAGGGGAAAAGCTATTTAAAAGTGATGCATGAATTCTTTTTGAAATTCGTCAAATTTGCTGTTAGTGTTGGTCGCGTCATAAACGGGGGCCCAATCGGCGTTCCTCAAAAAGGTTTCGAAAGCTTGAATGTTAGCTTGAGAAAAAGTGCGTTTGTAAGTAAATTCATTTCCATGGCCTGTTTCAGAAAGCCATGGTGCAGACAAAATAACCGCCTCATGATCTGAGAAATGACAGCTTTCCACTGTCATTAAAAAATTTCTGTTGTAGTTAGTGAAAATATTGTCTAATAATGAATCTTTTCCAAAACATCCCACCAAATCTAGGAATTGCGTGACTTTGGAAGTGGTTTCTAAGGTGTTAAGGTTAAAATCTCCTGTCAGGAAAAGGTTATTAAATTTTTTGCTTGCAACAGATAGTAATTTATTCAGCATGATTAGAAAATTGTCTATGTTTGTCCTTACAGGACTCCTATAGACAGATATAAGGATTAAGGATCTGTCATTTAAGCTTCCAAGCTGAGGTCAATAATACCATTGCTGAGTCCCTGAAGCAGCGCTTTAATTCGTAGTCAATTTGGTCGATATTTTTATTTCCTTGGATCACCATTTGTATCTTTAGTATAGTTTCAGTACCAGTAAGCACTACTATGTGTGTAATTAATTACAATTTATTGTGTGTGTATGAGAGTATAAATAAAAAAAAATAAAGAAATGAATTATTAATTAACCATCCTTTCTTGTGATTCCCAGAATTCAAAAAAATCTCTCTCTTCTTTTTTGAAACGAAAAATGGGTAATGACAGTCATGCTTATAGCAGTGGCGGTGGTTATCCAAATTACTCTCAACCTCCGCCTTACTCTGCCTATCAAACTACTGGCTATGCACAAGAGTATTATGGTGCTTATGACCAGGGACAATCTGTTGACTTAGGATGGAGACAACAGAGTGGCAGTAGAGGCACTTCTCGGGGCAGTTATAGAGGTACTTATAGAGGCAGAAGCTATGGTGGCGGCTACGGCGGAGGCGACGGCAGTGGAAGTTCGGGCGGTGGAATAGATCATAGCTATGGAGGTGACCAACGAGGCGGTTTTGACAAAGGTGATGGTAGCTTCATTCAACCGAATACATTTTTCGTATCGCAAATGGATCCCAGTCTAACTGAAGAAGATTTTGCGGCTCATTTTGGATCAATTGGTGTCATTAGGGATGACAGGTATGGCAACAAAAAAAGAGTCTGGCTCTAGAGAGACAAGATGACAAGAATATCAAAAGGAGAAGCTACCGTGACCTATGATGGTCCTAATGCCGCTCAAAGTGTCATTTCCTGGTTCAACGGCAAAGACTTCCGAGAATCAGTTTAAAAGGTTTAATTTGCAATTACAAAGGATAATTGGTCAGACGGCGGTCCAGGAGGTAGGGGCAGCCAAGGAGGTAAAGGTGGCTAAGGAGGCAGAGGCGGTTATGGTGGCTTCGACGACAGAGGTCGCAGAAGTGGAGGCGGTGGATTTGGTGATGCTGTTCGCGCCAGAGTCGCTGAAGTTGTTGACGGAGGTAGTCGTGCCCGTGAAACCAGGGATGGTGATTGAAAATGCCGAGGGAAATGCTTAAGCTCCGAATATGGTAATACCAACTTTGCTCGGAGAACTGAATACAACCGCTGTTGCGGCGATCCAAAATTTGCTGCACTCGATGGTGATGGCAGAGCTTCATTCAACCGAACACAATTTCCTTATTGCAAATGGATCCCACCTCTGACACCAATGTCACGAATCTGGGATATGATTCGAGGACTGCAAAGTGAAATCCGATTACAGTATAGTGTGAACACTGGGACAATTAGTCAGTGTAAGCAGCAACAAAAAAAGACTTAAACGATTGTGTAAATCACCCCGGAAGTGACTGTATACCCGATTTTGACTTTGATAGTGAATTTTCAAGTAAAAAATTCTATTTGGAAACCAAGGGAGATATCGAATTTGTGACTTCACCGACGGGTTTGCTATATCAATCGACATTCAGAAAAGGCCTTTTAAGAAAATTCTAGAATATTCTTTTCGAGAAGCAAGTTATCCAAAAAAATGAAGAAAAGGGTCTAGATGGTGAGTTTCAGAGAAAAAGTCAGCAAATGCATCTACCTGCTACTGAAGCTCAAAAATAAACTGTTTACAAAAGTTTATATTTTATGTACTTGATTTTTAACAAAAAGTTTGTCTTTTCCAGCTCATGAACGACAACGACAACAGAATAATCTGCAACATCACCTCCAGGAATTATTCCGAATCACTGACAATCATGATGCACCAATATATGTTTATGTCTTTTGGTCTTGGTACTTGTTCAGGGCATTTTTTGGTACATGCCAAAAAAACCCAGAGTTTACCACGCTCTCCAGTTGCTCAGGTTACGTCCGAAGGTCGCTCCTGCTGTCGATGTTGAATGTACGCAGAGTTTCTTTTTTGTGTATATTCGTACTTTTTTTTTCGAATCTAAGTATGTTGCAATTAAAAAGGTTTCATCGAAGTTTGGAAAAATACCAATGATTTGTGTTAGTTATTGTTCAATTCACAAAAGTGGACCAAAGGATGACCTTAATAATTTTAGACCTGTGTCTTTGATTTCCAATCTGTCTAAAATTGTCGAAAAAATTTTAAAATATAGATTAGTGAAATTTTTCACTAAATTTAAGATTCTTTCTGATAAACAATTTGGTTTTCGTCAAAAGAGATCCACAGAGGATGCAATTCTTAAACTTACATCCAATTTATATGATGCTCTGGACAAAAATATTCCTGCACTATGCATCTTTGTAGACTTATCGAAAGCCTTTGACACAGTTAATCACGAAATCCTACTGAAAAAACTTGAAATTTACGGAATTCGGGGAATTGCAAAAAAACTTATAGGAAGCTACTTAAAAAATAGACGACAGACTGTGAAGGTGAACAGCGTGCAAAGTTCCAGTAGGGAAGTTGTTTGCGGCGTGCCCCAAGGTACAGTTTTGGGCCCACTTTTATTGAAAATTTATGTAAATAGTCTTTTAAAAATCACTAGTCTTGGTGATATTATTAGTTACTGCGATGACACAGTGATTTTTTACAGCGCAAATACGTGGCAAGATTTAAAAACAATAGCAGAAAGAGACTTTCTCAATATTTCAAATTGGTTTAAGAGTAATAAACTTTCACTTAATGTCCAAAAAACCAAGTATATAAGTTTCACCTCATACAAAGATAAGCTTCCTAAAATTGGATCATTACAGGTAAATCAAGAGATAGCAATTCCCGAAACTGAAAGTATTAAATATTTAGGCATTATCTTGGATCAAAATCTAAAATGGAATCTACATGTTAAACACGTCACCCAAAAAATTAGAGCTTTGATATCCAAATTTAAATACTTAAAAAACTATTTGGACATAAAACACCTTATTGTTATATATTACTCATTGGTACAGTCACAAATTAACTATGGAATAACAGGATGGGGAGGAGCAAGAGATTGGCATATTCGACAGCTAAATATAGTGCAAAAATGGATAATTAAAGTCATATTTGAGAAAAACAGAACTTTTCCTACAGATCTCTTATTTAAAGAATCAAAACTTTTTGATATTAGACAACTATACATTTTCAATCTATTAATATGTATACACAAAAATAAAATTTGTACAGACTCACCTACTCATACACACGCTACAAGAAATCGCGAAAATCGGGTACAAGTACCAAGAAGACAAAAGAATATTGGACAGAGACATTTTCAATATATAGCGCCAAAAGCATTTAATCTACTACCAAAATATGTACAAAATTTAGTCAAAGAAAGAACATTTAAAGGTAAGGTTAAAAATTGGAGCCAGGAATCAAACCGCCAGGTACTACATGATTTAGTGAATAATAGATGGAATAAGGGGGGGTAAGTTACATTGAAAAGGAAAATTATTGTTCGTTATACCTTGGCCCTGATTTTATTTATTGTTTATTATTTTTGAGCGATTTTATTATTTTTTTTATTTTTTTTTGTGCTTTTTATGATTTGGCAGACCCTGAACTAGACATTTACACAACCCAATTTTGACAATATTTCCTGATTATGACACTTTTACCCAAATTAGACACCCTTAAACCAAATTGTGACCAAATATTTCTCATCACTAACAAGCTGCAAATAAGTGCAGCTTCTGTGATTTTCGTTTATTTGTACCCTAGTTTATATGGATGTTACTAGATAATATTATTTATTGTGTTATTTTGGTACCTACAATAAACGTATATTTATTTTTATTTATTATTTTGAAACTAAGTTGGGTACAATAGTAATTACAGATTGACTATAAAATGCATTTCTGTGACATTTCTCTTTTTTTAACGTCTCATTTTGCTGTATTTTTGATTCCGTGATACTGGTTGTAATGAACTTAAAGGTATTAAGTAGTAAACAAGTCCAAGGTTTTCAAATATTCGAGAGAGTGGATTGAGCTGACTGATATTTGAGATTTGATTGACTTTTACTGGTTTATTGTCCTGTTTACACTTATGGTCAATCGATAATCTATTCTATTTTTTTTTTTTCTTTTTATTTATACTCTCATGTACACACAAAAAATTGTAATTACATACATAAGAGTGCTTACTGGTACTTGTTAGGGCAAAAACACTACTGCATGAAAAAATTATAAAGTTTTAAGGTTTTATCACTACAAAGAATACTATTCTATTTGCGCCACACGGAGTTTTTTTGTTTAAAACGGGATTATTGTCTCAATTTTCTTTTTGTTAGTTTTATTTCCACTATTAAAAATATAAAACTGAAACTACTGGCAGCTGATTTTTTCTATTTCTTGTAAGGTGTTGGTGTTCAATGTTGTTTAAAATAATTTTTCCTCTATTCACACACATAAGCACAGTTTGGAAATATAGCTGTTTTACGTCAACTATTCGTGATTCACTATAGAGTAGTTCGGTGGGGTACGAGCGACTTTTTCCATAAGTAATTTTAATGACCCATTTCTGTAAAACTTCGAGATCTCTCGAATAACAATCCCTGACTCCCTCCATCCTATTAAACCATATGAAAGTTACGATTGAAATAGTGCATAATAAACTTTTTTTAGGTCACTGATACATAGATATTCTTTGAGATGGGCAAACCTAGTAACTAAAAATCTTGTTTTACTTATTAAATTTTTTAATGTTTATCCCACCTCATGTGACTATCCATGATTGTGCCTAGATATTCGACCATTTCTGCTGTTCTTATATGGATGTTGGGTGCAATTTGTATAGAGTCAAAAGTGGGTAGATTCGTTGTCTTATGTGCAAGAGGGAGAAAGTTAGTTTTCGATTTATTTAGGGTTAATTTATTGAATTGAAACCATTTGTGAATGGTCTTCATATCGCTTTCTACTTTTTGCTTCAGCTCTGTCCAGTTTTTGGCGGTATAGAATGAAACAGTGTCGTCACAGAAACTTCCGATTTTTCCCTCAGATTTTATTCTTAAGAGGTTGTTTATATAAATAAAAACAATATCGGCCCTATGACTTTACCACCCGAACTTCCACTGCCTTCGCCTCCACCGTAGCTGCCACCATAGCCCCTGCAACTATAAGCACCTCTACAAATGCCCCGAGAAGTTCCTCTACTGCCCTTCTGTTGTCTCCATTCTAAGTCAACGGATTGTCCCAGATTTTAAGCACTTTGACTGGCTTCTCCATAATACTCTTGTGCATAGCCAGTACTTTGATAGGCAGAGTAAGGCGGAGGTTGAGAGTAGTTTGGACAGCCACCGCCACTGCCATAAGCATGAATGGCTTCACCCATTTTTCGTTTTAAAAAAGAAGAGAGAGATTTTTTTGAATTCTGGGAATCACAAGAAAGGATGGTCAATTGATAATCTATTTCTTTTTTTTTTCTTTTTATTTATACTCTCATGTACACACAATAAATTGTAAAATTTTAAGGTTTTACCACTACAAATAATACTATTCTATTTGCGCCACAATTTGGAGTTTTTTTGTTTAATACGGGATTATTGTCTCAATTTTCTTTTTGTTAGTTTTATTTCCACTATTAAAAATATAAAATTGAAACTACTGGCTGCTGATTTTTTCTATTTCTTGTAAGGTGTTGGTGTTCAATGTTGTTTAAAATAATTTTTCCTCTATTCACACACATAAGCACAGTTTGGAAATATAGCGGTTTTACGTCAACCATTCGTGATAGTGAATCACGAGAGTAGTTCGGTAGGGTAAGAGCGACTTTTTCCATAAGTAATTTTAATGACCCATTTCTGTAAAACTTCGAGATCTCTCGAATAACAACCTGACTCCCTCCATTCTATTAAACCATATGAAAGTTGCGATTGAAATAGTGCATAATACTTTTTTTAGGTCACTGATACATAGATATTCTCTGAGATGGGCAAACCTAGTAACTAAAAATCTTGTTTTACTTATTAAATTTTTTACATGTTTATCCCACCTCATGCGACTATCCATGATTGTGCCTAGATATTCGGCCATTTCTGAGAGAGATTGTTTATATAAATAAGAAACAATATCGGCCCTATGACTTAACCATGTGGTACGCTACAAGTTACGTTCCGGACGT